GGGACAGCCCGTTCCGCGACGTGGAGGAGGTGCGCGCGCTGCTGCCGCTGTGCAAGCGCTGCGGGCAGGGCGCCGCGCCCTCGGCCGCCTTCCCCGCGCCGCAGGCCTCAGTCTCCGACGGGATCCTGCAGCGCCTGGTGCCGCGGACGCCCCGGGAAGCCCACCGGCCGCTGCCGCTGCTGACGCGCGTCAAGCAGACTTTCTCTTGCCTCCCGCGGTGTCTGTCCCGCAAAGGCGGCAAGTGAGGACCCCGCGACTCTCCCTCCCGACTGGTCCCCCGCGGGGGCCGTCCGGGCCTCCCACGGCCTCCAGGAGGGCCCGGAGCCTGTGGGAGCCCCGCCCCTGCCCCGCTTGTCTGCAGTAGCGTGTCCTCCGTCCGCGCGCGCCTGTGCTGGGCCAGCCTGCTGCAGCCACCTGGTGCCTTAGGCCGCGGGCTGGAGGCGGGGGCGCACGGCCCCCCCTCTTACAGGCGCGGGAGTGGGAGCGAGTGCGTGGGGGTTGAACGGGCCTGGAGGATATTAAAGAGACACAGAAGCTGCCTATCTGAGTGCCTCCCAGTCACTGAGCAAAGGCGGGGCAGCAGGACTCCGCCGGGGGCCTGGAGCCTGCGGGAAGCGGGACGGGAGGGGCTCTGCATCCCCTGGGGCCCGAGGAGCCTGCCATTCTGGGTATACTCTGGGTAAATTGCAGTCCCCTGGGCTGAATTCTGAATACTTCTCTGACATTTCTCCCCAGGCCCTGGTCTCCTGACTAGGCCCCTGAGTCCCTCCTTGTCTCTGAATCCCCTTCCCCCCCCTCTGAGCCCCTCCTCCTCTCCGAGGCCCCTCCTCCTCTCCAAGGCCCTTCCCCTTCGCTATTCACAAATACTAGCTGGTAAAAGCCTCCCTCAAGCCTGACCTTTTATGTAGGGGAGTTCACTTAATCCCTAGGCAGGCAGCTTGCCCAGGACACCAGCTAGAGTAGGGGGGGCGGGTGAACCTAGGCTGTTTGCAAGGCATGATGGTTGTTGAGAAGCAGCTCCTTCTGGTCTTGGAGATTACTGGAGGGGAGGATCCACCCCCAGCTAGTGGCAATGACCCTTCCCACCTAGAGTTTAAAAGCCAGGCAGCCCAATAAAGCAGCAAACTGATTTGAAGGATGAGCAGAGGTCATTGGAGCTGACTTTTCCTAAACTAAAAGTAGCCCGATGTTGAGAGCGGTCTGAAGTACCTATAATAATATAGCCACCTGCATGGGGCTCTGATTATGCACCAAGCACTGTGCTCTCGTGTTGCTGATATTCTGGTGAGAAAGACACCAGATAGATAGATAAACAAAAGAAAAAAATAAGTGAGGGAATGAACTCATGCTATTTGGAGAGAAGCATTCTAGGTAAAGAGAACAGTAGGTGAAAAGGCCCTTAAGGTAGGATCCTCTGTGAAAGCAAGATGTCTGGACTCATCACAGTGCAGGGAATCTGTGGTAGTCCTGGCTAGTTAGGGCATCACCATCCACTGGGTTTAAAACGCCATTCTATTTCTACCAGTATCTTCCCCTACTTAACCTTCACGGGCCTGGCCATTGTGGCTCAGTGGTTGAACTGTCGACCCATGAACCAAGAGGTCCCTGGTTCCATTCCCAGTCAGGGCACATGCTCCGGCTGTGGCTCGACCCCCAGTAGGGGGTATGCAGGAGGCAGCCAATCAATGTTTCTATCTCTCTATCCCTCTCCCTTTCTCTCTCTAAAAAAAAACCAACACATTTTTAAAAAAACAAAACCTCTAGAGCTCCCATCATCAATAGGACAAAACAAAGCCCCTGGATCAGCTGTTCCATATCCTTCACGATGCTCGCCCTGCTTCAATCATTACTTTCACCACACTGTGACTCAACAACAATAGTAATACCACTCCTTTGTTGAACTGTCACTATGGGCCAGGTAATGTGCTAAACATTTTCCCTGTATCTCACTTAATCCTCAAGCAACCCTATGAAATAGGTGTTGCTGTTTAGCAGATGAGGGAACTAAGGTTGGTGCTCAAAGTCACCAGCTAGCTAGTGGTGGGGCCATGATTTGAATCCAGGCAATCTAGCTATGGACCCCACCCTCCTAATTACTACGACTCCGCCACTTAGGAAATGAAGGGATTATCTGACACACTGAAGATCTCTGCTTGATGCAATTATTTTGCATTATTTAAATAATTTTGTATTTAATCATATGAAATGCTTTATGCCCCATGGGAGCCCTACAGGTCCGAATTTGAATCCTGGCTTTGACTAGAAGTGTCAGAACTGGGTGGCTGCTGGAATGTGGGGACAGAGGGTAGGGAGTATGAAGGCCCCTCTGCCAGGTTCACATGAGGGACAGTGCTACCAGCCTCTGGTCAATGCTGGCTGGGAGCCCAGCTCTGCACTCGCTGCAGAGGGGGTGGTTTCTCTCTTAGAGCCTCAGTTTCCCAGCAAGGGGTGGAGCAGTCTGAGCTACTTGATCTCTTTCAGATTGCAAACCCCATGTGGCAATTTAATGAGAGATACAAACTCTAGAAAAAATGCAAAAAAATGAAAAAATTTGCACACACTTTCAAGGGGATCACAGACCCCAACAGGAATCGGCAAATTCCACGTGTGGCTGTTGGGAGGCACAGTGGGGCACTGTTTAGGCTCCTGGGCTCTGGGGAGAGAGAGACACAGGTTTGGATCCTGGCTCCCCCACCAATTAGCCCTGTGCCCTTGTTATAGGGCTTTAACCTCTCTGAACTTCAGTCTTCTTAACAATAAAACAGGCAATTATACTAATCTCAAATGCCGTTGTGAGAACCAATCCAGCCAATGCAGGAAAGGCTCAGGCAGGCCCAGCACTGTGGTGAGCATCAGTAAACAGGGCTCCCAAGGTTTAAGGTACTAGTCCTCCAGGTGTGGCCCATGGACCACCTGGATCAGAATCACATTTTACAAGTCTGCGATGGAGGCCTCCCAGTTCCCATGGGCCTTAGTTTGAGAAGCACTACACCTTTCCAGCCTCTACTAGAGTCCAGGTTCTGAAAAGGGAATGACAATTTTCTGGCCCTCTAGAAAGAGCAGGAAACAGTTGCAGGGGTAGTTCAAGGGCCGCCTCTGAGTGCCTGTGGCCCCACCGCCACTACCCCTGGGGGCGGGCAGAGCCCTGGCTGTCCCACGCCCTACCCTCCAATGGGTCTTGGCGTCCCATGGCACCTCTAGTTGACCCCTGCAAGAGACCCCTCCGGGCCAGGCTACACGCGGAGGGATGAAAGGAAGGGCCTCCCGGGAGCGGGAGCAGAACGGAAAGCGAAACCTGCCAGGCCAGACTTTCGCTTTCGCAGCCTCCGCGCGCCACCCAGGTGGCCCCACGGTCGCCCGTCGCGCTGGGAGTCCCACCGCCGCGGGCCCCAGAGCTGCTCCCCGGAGCACAGCATCCCTGATGGCCGGCGACCCCTGGCGGAGGGAGGAAGGGAAGGTCCCCGGCGGCGGCCGACCCAGGGCGGGGGCTGCGGGACCCCTGCGGCTCCGCGACTGGCTGGTGGCGCAGATCGAGAGCGGGCGCTACGCGGGGCTGCGCTGGGAGGACAGGGGCAAGACCCTCTTCCGCATCCCCTGGAAGCACGCGGCCAAGCAGGGCTACCGCGCGCAGCAGGACGCGGCGCTCTTCAGGGTAAGGGGGCCGGGGCGGGGGCACGCCAGGCCCGGGGGCTGGGGAGAGCACGGCCCCACCGCCCCGGGGACGCACCCACGAGGCGCCGGGGGACCTGGGCCACTCGCTTGGCCCTTGGCCTCGGTCGTCTCTAGTGTCCTCCACAGCTGGGAGACCCTCAGACATCCTCTTAAAACAGAATCACTGGGGCTGGGAGACCTGCACCGTCCTCACCTCTCAAGGGGCCCCACCTCCCTCTCCACTGGGTGGAATTAGATGCCACTGACGGGAACTCCCTCGGCTTCCCACCCCCAAACCGCCGGCGCAGCAGCTTGGGGACATTTTCTATGCTTCCCGGCACCAGCCATTCTCAGGGACCTACCCCTCCAGGAATGCCCTCCCTTTCTTCGGTCATCATGAACTTCCTCGAAACTGGCTCTTTCCCATGACATTTAAACTCCAGAATCTCTCCTGTAAGCAAAAAGGAGCCAACCAACCAGCCAGCCACATCAAACC